ACTTTCCGTGATTCCCGAGTTAACAGTATTCATCTGAAACGCGACGGTAACAATTTGTGCTAGTACTGAAGCGAAAAACAGAATAATTGGCTAACTGCCAGTGAAAGGCCCAAAAGCCGAGTGGAAGAGGAAACCGACTTATATGTATAACACGGTGAAGTAATTGAAACCGTAAATGATGAAACTTAGGCCAAAATGAGCCTTAAAATATAGATAGGTCGAAATAATAGACCAGAAGGATTGTACTCAGGTGTCATGTGCAAGGTGATATTTTACGGTGCAAACTGTCTTTCATCGTTTAGATGTAGTAGTAAGGTGATATTTTACGATGCAGTTAGTCTGTGTGTTTCATCCCTTAGCTGTAAACACAGACTGGACTATGCATGCCAATAGGAGTGGGAATCATCAGTACAGCCTTCTACCCGCCATGTATTGAAGCCGTAAATTTGAAAAATAGGTGCTGTGTTTTTTGTAATGAAAGGACGAGGGAGGCAGTAGGGTTGAAAATGTCGTTATGACATACTGTCATGTGAAAAAGTCATGCATAGAAAAAATAGGTGGAAATTGGTCTGTCTGTGTTTCATCCCTTAGCTGTAAACACAAACACTAAATGCTGTGGTTAGGGGTGGAAATCATCAGGACAGAACTTCATTTTTTAAGAATTCATTCAGAACGAAGCGAGTCGATTTCCTGAATGCTCTTGACACAGTTCTGAAATTTTGTCAGAATATTCTAGATCAAATGCTGAATCGATAAATCCCAGAATTAAGGTATTTGCCTGTATGTGTCTCTGTACCAATTTTTCATCTCGAGACCCAGAAAAGTTAGAAGGCTGAAACTTTGGCAACTTAATCTACATGTTAACACAATTCTTCATTCTGATACACGGTACTTAGGAAGGACAAAACGAACCCTTGAATAACTGTCCAACATTTGTTTGGCATAATCGTATGACTCATACGAGCGATATTTCGATGGAAGTAGTTTCAGCTGGTTGAGCAGCTCATCCAGACTTTGGCGTAGCTTACGTGGCTGCACTGACAGCCACGTTTTCTCTTTCAGCTCATCAACAGCATTGTAGAGCGGAATCAGTGATTGCCAGACACCTAAAAGGGAACAAAGAATATAAGAA